CTATTACAAGTCAAGTGAGAATTATCTATTACAAGTCAAGTGAGAATTATCTATTACAAGTCAAGTGAGAATTATCTATTACAAGTCAAGTGAGAATTATCTATTACAAGTCAAGTGAGAATTATCTATTACAAGTCAAGTGAGAATTATCTATTACAAGTCATGTGAGAATTATCTATTACAAGTCAAGTGAGAATTATCTATTACAAGTCAAGTGAGAATTTTTGTTACAAGTCAACTGAGAATTTATAATAAATAATTTCAATATTAATATTATTTATATTTTTGGTCACTTTTTTTCAAATCATTAACAGCCAAGTTAACACTTTGATTCAAGATCTTCATCAATTTTATAGCTAAAAGATGAAATATAAAAACATCTTTACCTCTATTATGCAAGGTTGCTTTTACAAGCTTCAAACAGACTTTAAAACCTTTTGCACTGGATACCTCTCAATGCCATATTTGTATTAGTACTAGTTTCTGTGTTGAAACAAGTATTGAAAGAAATAATCTATATTTGAAAGCAAAAGATATAAAGACAGAAGGGTTAAACACACTTTCATTTGCCACACACACTCATTGTAAATAGTTTTTCCCACCCAACACTCACATATTTTAACGAAATTGCTTTGTCAAGCTTCCTTACATTCAAAAACAGTAGTAAAATAATCTACAGAACTAACCTTGGGAAGCTCAATGTGATTGTTCATGTAGCTTGTTGCCAGAGAATTGTCTATGTAACTGTCTGGGGGACATTTACTGTCCATCTTATTAACTGCTTTGCAATAATCTTTGTGATGAAGGAGAAGGAAAGTCATTCCTAAAAAACAACAAACAATAAGTTTATGTTCTTTACTCTGATATAAGCAGCACAAAAATGTATTTTAGACGTAAAAGTTAATCCTTCTACACAAAACATTACCATTAAGTACAGACTTAAATATTCACTGAAACCAAGTTCCAATCATTAAGAAAACATTTTAGGTTTGGACTTTATTTGAAACATTTCAAGAAAAATGTGATAGTTATTATAAGAAACAGGTCCAGTCAACAATATACTATTTCATAGATATAAGATTCTCAACACTGGTAAGTTCTGTTGTAAATTTCAATGTTTACCTATATGATAATTTTTGAAAATGTTGAACAAATGATACGTAAACAGTGGAATCTATTGTAAATATTAGTTTCTGGAATTGAAGAATGATATAATATTGAGGGATGAATATTTTAATGGATGGAGCTCTTATGTAAAAGAAATAAAAATTTATAAATTATTACAAATTTTTTTCTGATATTTGAAACAAGACCAGAAAATTCACTAATTGTGAAATTTAAATTTATTTAATTAACTAACAAGTACAAAAGATAATACATATTTAATAGAAAAATGAAATAATCACAAATGTCAACATTAAAAAAAACAAAAACAGACCAATGAAGCGAATTAACAAGCATACACAAGGCACAGCTGGTGTTTTAAGAACTAACGAGCTACCTCATTGAACACCCCCATTATATTACAATATACCCACTCATTTCAAGTGGGCGTGGGTTCAAATCCTGTTGAAGGGAGATGAAACAACTTGATCATTACACTGTTCCATTTTTAAAACCACACTCGAATATTTCATTTTGTGTATCATGTTATTCTAACTTATTAGCATCAGTTCTGAATAGTCCTTGGTTAATTTCAGCAAAGTTTTTGTAATGGATGAACATCATCCAAGGATGTAGTCAGAGAAAAAAAAAATGTAGGTCACCACTATTTTTTTAGTTTCAAAGCATTTTTGACAAGTGCATTGAGGATGGAGAAATGAAGTTAGTATATAGTAGGGTTATGATTTTGTTTTCTACAATATTTGCTTCACTTTTTTTTTGTGTTTTCAATTAATCTCACAGTAATACTACTTTATATATTAATTTAGAACCTAACAGCTGGCTAGTTTGTTTGATTTAGTTTTAGTTAGAAGAAAATTAACAAGTAATCTTATGACTCGTATGGGTTGTTGAATAAATTATTTCATGACATTCACTTTATAATGATATTTACCAAATTGCTGAATATAAAACAAACATTTGTAAGAATTTCTAACAGCAAAATTTGACTACTCACACAAAAATATTGCTTTAATTCAAAATGAGTAGATGTGTGATCATCTGTCACAAATATCTGTTAAAAGACAAAACCTCTGCAAGCTGAACTGTGCAGATATCATTCAAATATGACACTACAACAGTATAATGTGATTAAAATTTTAAGGTATCAGGTATTAAAGAGACACCATTTACAATTATAGTTAACAAACCTTACATAGAATCCATTAATATATGTATAATAGGCAACAACACACACTTCGTCGGCAATGTATTAACTCCAACTCCAAAGCTATAAGAATGACAGCATAAATTTATTACAGTAAGTACTTTTTAGCTTGTGTCTGGGCAAAGCTATAATAATGCATGTGTAAGTGTTACAAGTATATAATACATTATTCTCTATTCAATAGAAAGTGACAAAAATGTCTCATGTTTTTGAATAGTGTGTAAGTGAATGCTTTTCCTTATCAGCAGCATGGCAGCCATCTACCAACATATGCATGATCTGTTTTGCTTTTTCTTTATAGCTAGGAACAAATTCTTTCTCTAAAAAATGTGGGTATACGGGTGTCAGAAACCCAACCTATCTACACCCATGACAGCGTCTATTCTAGTAAACCATCTAGTCTTGGAGTTATTTCATTAAAAGCCCTTTTGTCTGCCGGGCACGTGGTCAGAATTTACTGAAGTGTTGAAGCTGAGTTATATATAGTTTGTTGAAATCCAAAATATGAGCTGGCATTGATAAAAGACTGTACAGCACAAGTTTCAAAACATTAAACCCTTTCCACACGGGTCAAAGGTCATGCCATCGCATTTGTTGACTGGCATTCAAAATTTTATTGAACTACTATTTTATGAATTTATGTCATTAAGATTGGTATCAAACTAGATTACACTTCAAATTTTAGTATTATATATTATTTAATTTCTTAATTTAAAATTAAATATTAAAAA